TAAGATAGATATACAGCTACTTTCTCTTAGTTCAATGAGAAGAAAGATTTGTACTAATATCGTTTAGACAAGAGCTCGTGTCTGCATGTTGTACTGTGAATAACTACTATGAAGACAATAATGTGCTTTTTTTTTTTTTGGTGGAACCAGGGATCGAACTCAGGGCCTTGCACTTGCCAGGCAAGCGCTTATTCTATTGAGCCATCTCCCCCGCCCCTAGCAATATGCAATATATTAATTATTGTAACTGTCCTACTAACCTGTTTTGAAACTGTCTCGTTGCTATTTCTTTCTCATTAAAACTAATAAAAAATTTAAAAAATACAAACACACACACACACACACACACACACACACACACGGGATAAATGTGTCAACATGCTGATCTCAAGAGGTGCAGTCCTGAGGGCTGGTGCACAGAAGAGTAGGCTGATGCGCAGGAAATCACTAAATCACCAGGGTGGAAACCCTGGTGGCCCAGGGAGGGGTGGAGACCATCTCCCTTCTCACCTGGTACTCGAGGACAAAGATGAAGATGTTGTCAGCGCCCACGGCCAGCACCAGGAAGGGCACCACTTGGAGGATGACCATGGAGGAGGGGACGCCCACGTAGGAGTAGAAGCCCATGGAAGCCATGACCGATCCGATCACCACGACCACCCCACCCAGGCCCAGGGTGGCCTTGGAATCCACCTGCAATGTAGGCAGTAGGCACACTTCCTGGCCTCCAGACCACACACCCACCCAGGCCAGCCAGGAAGCGGGCGGCAGGGCCCCTGGGGACCTTCGAGGGCTGGAACCACCCAGCCTCTGCATCAGGGAGCTTGCATCTGCACTGAGCCCCACTCATAGCCAGCCCACCAGCAGCACCTCATCCCCAAAAGAACAGGTCCACCTGCTGTCTGCACCAGCACCAGACATCGTAAATGGCAGCTGTGTATGTGGACACAGGTGACCGTATTAGCGAGCAGAAATAAAACTCTTCACAACACAGAACACTTAGGAAATAGCATCCTGGCCTGGGGATGCAGCTCAGTGACATAGCACCTGCTTGGCAAGGAAAAGATCCTGAGTTCAATTCCCCTTAAAAAGAAAAAAAAAGGAAAGAAGGAAGGAAGAAATAGCACCCTTTGGGGAGGTCCGGGGATCTGGGCCCCCTCTCTCACCATCACTCGGCGGCATTTCGAATAGCTGCCCAGGGCCAGCGAGATATACACAAAGATGACCAGGTAGCTGATGGCAAAGATGGGCAGGTCCTCGAGTGTGGTACGGTTGATCTCATCCTCCAGAGAGCGCTGCAAACACATAGACCAGCCTAGTGGACCGCATAAGTCTCCAGGCTGGGTGGCTCTTTGGGGACCATGGTGAGGGTCCAGGAACACCCATCACAAACACCCTATCTCAGTAGGCATTCATCACTCAGGACAAGACAGGATGGAGACACAGAGACCACTAGGGTGGCCGCCACAGAGCCAGGACCTGCAGCTCCTACCTCAGCCATGAAGGCCACCTGGAACGTGCCAGCCATCCTCTTCTGGAAGGCTTGTAGCTCCTGTACGAAGGCCTCTTCCCAGAGCTTGACCTGAGCGAGCCGGGGATCGTCCGCAGGGTAGTTGTTGAGGGAGAAGGTCATGACGAGGGCCTCTGCCTCGGAGTAGTCCTTCCCTGGCATGAAAAGTGCTCAGGCCCTCGGGTGCAGCCCTGCCTCCCTCTCTTCCTCTCCCCTCCTGCTGGTCCCTGCCAATCATCCCAATCATGCTTTTCTCCTGCCCCACTTTCCTCTCTTAGCAGGAGGCAAGACCTTTGAGTCCAGGCACAAAAGCAGATGAGAAGCTGAGTGGGTGGCAGACGAGAGTCCAGATGGGACATCCACAGCCCCATAGCCAGGCCAAGCACAGCGGCAGGAACACCCACACCACCCCTGCCTGCTGTTGCTGACCCACATCCCTTCGTGGCCATCCAGCTTACCTTTGTACCCCCCAATAGCGAGGAAGGGGAAGACAGGGGCCCCATAGTCAGCCATACAGCTCAGGGCCAGGGTTGTGCCATCTTTGAAGGTGAGGGGAGAGCTGGAGGGAGACCACAGAGGAAAGGGGTCTTTTTTGGCCCTGCCTCACTTCCTAGGACCTGCCCTGTGCCAGGCGCACCTCAGAGGAGGGGACATGCCTACAGATCGCCAGCCGCAGTGGGCCCTCTTCCTAATAGCTGTTCCAACCATACCCTCAGTGGGCCCCAACATCCCAAATGGAGGAGCCACACTGAGCGCCTCTTCTGGGCCAGGCAAGGGCTTCCTGTGTCCCCTCACACGGCCAGACCTCTCAGGCTTGCCCTTATTTGCTTCCCAGAGAGGCATCACTAAAGTCCCTGGTCAGGATTTGAGCTGTAGTTTTGGCCCTGGTTTCTGCTGCTCCTCAGCCTCCTCTGACCAGAGCCCCAAACCTTCTGAGCCAGACAGGAAGCACTTGACAATCCCCTTCTCCTGTGATGGGGAAGGCTTCAGGGCTCAGCCTGTAATGGTCACACCAGTCCCCTCCCTTCCCTGTCCCCTTCCTCCCTTGGCTCCTCTCAGTCCCCTGAGGAGGGTTGGGGACAGCCTGCCTCTGTGTCCTCCTCAGTTGCTTCATGGCTGCTCTCCAGGCTGCCATGATGGGACTTTCACCTCCCAGACTCCTGCTGCATCCTATACTGTCACTTCTGCCCTCAGGTGGCAGAAGTCAGGCAGGGTCAGGAGCCCCTTATAACCATCCCTGACCCCAGTAAACCATAATGAGCCAGCTAATCCTCCTGGAGATTGTGGGGTGTCAGCCCACAGTGGGAGCTCCGGGGGATGTCTCCCTGACCACAATAAGCTTGAATTTGAACCAAGCAGTAGAATTCAGTTTGAACCAATTGGCAGGCTCCAGGATTAGATCAATGTAGACCAATGTTTACAGTCTTAAATTTGGACCAATCACAGCCTTGAACTTGGACCAATCATCAGGCTTGGATTTGAACCAATCACAGGCCTTCAGCTGCTATACATTATGCCCACCTCTCTTCTTGGGTGGGCTTTGGAGGGTTCTCTCTTGTGCTTTGATTCCTCTGTACTACAGCACAAATGAAACTTCCTTCCTGTGGTCCCGTAAATCTTTCCAAGAGGTTTTTCTTTTTTCTTTCTTTCTTCTTTTTTTTCTTTCTTTTTTCTTTTTTCTTGGTACCAGGGATTGAACTCAGGACCCTGCACTTGCCAGGCAGGCGCTTATTCTACTGAGCTATCTCCTCAGCCCCTCATAAGGTATTTATTTCTTAGGTAGTGTGACCTTGGAAGATCCTGAAATCTGCTCAGGACTTATGAGTACTATGGACAGAACAGTTGCTTAAAAAGCAGACATAGGCTGGGCGTGGAGACACAAGCCTATAGTCCCAGCACTCAGGAGCACCAGGCCTCTAGCAGAGCTGCACCTGCTGATTTATAATTTCTATCCTCTGACTCAAGAAAAAACACTTCACCTGCTCAGCTAGCTGGACAAAGTTCTCTATTTGTATTTTTGGCTCTGAGCAAGTGACTGATTGTGTTGGCCACCAGCTCTTCCTGGGAATGCTGGTTGTTCTGTGACCTTCAGCAGCTCATGGTACCCTTCCAAGGCTCAGCTTCTCTGTCTATGAAATGGGTATAATCAGACCCCCTCAAGCTTTGTGTGCATGCAAAATCAAACTAAGATAGCACACAAGGACAACACAGCTGACCACAAATGCCTCCCCAGGATGACAAACAGCCCCTCCCTGAGCTGCCATTTCTGAGGGCCAGACACTCTGGGCTCAGAGGCATGAAGCGAGGACAATCAGTCCACACTGAAGACCACTGCTCTACACCCACCTCCAAGGGCCCCAGCCGCACCTGCCTTCCCGCTATCCTTGCTTGGCCCAGCATCCTCTCAGCCTCTAGAATGGACAGAGCCAGGGCCCGAGGCCCGAGAGCACCAGGGCTTAGCTGAGACCTGGGGGAGGTGCCTGGGACCTGAGACCAGCTCCAGCCCTACTCTAGCTCAAGGGCACCGCTTCCTGTTCACACCAAAACACTCCTGGGCTACCAGTGCACAGAAGCAAGAGAAGAAACCCAGTAAAGACACCAGTATGAGCTGGAGCAAGGCATAGTGGCCCAGACCTACAATCCTAGCAGTCTGGGAGGCTGAGGTAGGAGAATCACAAACTGGAGCCTGGCCTGGACAACTTAGGGGCTCAGCAAGAGTTTGTCTCATGAATGAATGAATGAATGAATGAATGGCTGAGGGTGGAGCTCTAGCTTCAATCTCCAGTACTGAAAAGGATGAGGATGGATCAGTGCTGAGGCCCTGGCTCAAGCCCTAGTGCAATCAGATGAATCCATCAGGCAAACTGAGCCCAGGGTGAGGACCATAGCTGCTGCCCCACCTGTTCCTCCTTGGGCCCAGGGAAGACTCACTTGGCACAGTAGAGAAAGTGGTCCCTCCAGTCCACCTGGGCAGTCTGGCCCATCAGCGTTTGGTTGGCAGTGAGCAGCAGCCTCGTGCGGTTGTTCTGGAAGTACTGCAGGAAGCTGTTGACGCAGCAGTCGGAAAGGCTGGTGTTGTGCGGGTTGAGGGGTGCGTAGCAGAAGTCCTGCAGGGAAACAGAGCGCTGCGCTTCGGGCGACCACACCTGCATGTGCCGCAGCCTCTCCTGCAGGTCCAGCAGCTCCAGCAAGAGATCCAGGCTCAGGATCCCGCTGAAGTTCTTGGGCCCCAGCAGCAGGGAGTCGTAGCTGTAGCTGGACCGGTTAATCGCCGTCAGGAAAACCTGGTTGGTTCGGAAGAAGGGGCCAAAGTGCTCATCGTAGAACTCCTTCTCCTGCCGGGCCTGACTTTTCGGGGATGACCACAGGTCCACAGGTTCCGTGGCCATTTTCACAAATGTCAGCCCTGATGCCAAGCCCATAACTACCAACAGGGACACTGCCAGGACAGTCAGTGGCCACGAGGCCATGCTTCTCCCCCAACTCTCGAAGAAGCGGCCAAGGACCATGTGTGGGGAACACCTGCGTTTCTTCGAAGGGCTGGGGGCCACAGGGGGCCCCTGGCTTCTGGCCTTCTTCCTCTTAGCAATCACACGGAGTCGGGCAAGGATGGTGATGAGTAGCACAAAGGCAGAGCAGAAGATGATGAGGACGACAGCCCAGCCTGGCAAGCGCCCCATGTAGGAGAAGGGGCGCAGGGCGGGGGGAGGGGGGATGACAGGGCAGGAGGCGGCACAGTCCTGACAGGAGCAGGCTGCCGTGCCGTTGTCCTGGGCCTCGCTACAGGGTGTGATCATTGCATCCAGTGGCTGCATGCCATCTGTCAGGGTCTGGCCGGGATCACAGAGGTGGAAGGTGATGTCCAGCGGAGCCAGGCCATTCCCGGTGTCTCCTTGGAAGTTGAGCCAGCGCTGAGCATTGCACAGGGCAGAGCCATACACGCCACACATGCTGCCAACGGCCAGCGAGGCAGCCGCAGGGATGCGCACACGACTGCAGGACTCGTAGGCCTTCTCAGCGAAGCTGCGCTGGTAGAAAGCCTCGTAGGCCACTACGGCCGGTGGCCCGCCAGCTCCCTGAGGGACCACGCGGGTTACATTGATGAAGAGGCTCTGATTGGGACTACAGGTGTTCTGGCAGTGCAGGCTGACGAAGTTGTCGGAGCAGGCCGGGCAGCGGGTGAGGAGGGCCTTGGTAACGCTCATGCTCAGCTCCAGGGCCACCAGCTGCTTGGTGGAGCAGCAAGCGTAGGTGGTGCTCGGGCCATTGTAGAGGCGGGGACAGACGCGCTGCAGGAGGGCCAGGTGCTCGCCTGTGACGAGGCGTGCCGGGGTGTTGGACAGGCAGGACACATTGGACAGCGTCGTGAGGCCTCCAGACAGCTCTGGATTCTTCCCGCACTCCTCGTAGAAGGTGCAGTAGCCTGCCTGGTGGATGGGCGTGTACAGCTCCCCCCGGGCCTGCAGATACAGCAAGGTCACTCACAGGCCAAGCACAGGCGACAGAACAGGGTATGGGGAAAGAAGGACACCAGGCAAGGGCCTGGCCTCTGGGAGGCCTAGGCTGGGGCTGAGGTACTTTCCTCGGTTTAGGAAGGTCGACTGCAAGGGAAGGGGTGATGTGGAGGAAGGTGACCAGGACACTGACTGTCCTGGCCTGGGTGTCCTGACTACATGTCACAGCCAGGCCTCAGGGGATCCCCTCCCCCAACACAGCTTTGGACCCAAACAACCTTCTCACAGCCCCAGGATGCTCCAGGGGACACTCACCTAGGACTCCCACCACGCTCCTTGGCTCAGTTTGTCCTTAACCACAGGCTAGGACCTAGCCAGCTGCCACTCCTGACCCTGTGTCCCTCAACCCCTTGACCTGGAGACCCTTCTCGAGACCCTCGTCTCCACGGTCTGGGACCCCCCTCCACACTCCCATAGGCAGTAGACTCACCGAGCACAGGAGCAGGGCCCAAGGGAGCCAGCCGCGCAGGCCAACCGCCATCCCAGAGTAGAGGTGGGATCGGCAGGGACAGCAGGAGACAGCTGAAGGTTGGCTATGGGGATGTGGGTTAAGGACGCCTCTTTTCCTGGTGAAGCCCCATCGGGTGAGATTGGAGCCAATGGGCTGAATGCTACTGGTTAATGATCACCCGCTGTCATCCTTGCCGCCTGCCCCATCTATAGCCTCTCTGATGAGCCTTGCTGTGACAGGGCGGCAGTTCCCACACACTGTCTGGGGCCACTGGAGTTGGAGTGTTGAGCCCCCTGGGGATAGACCCTGAAGACCCCTTCAGCTGTTGGCACTGGGGCCAAAGCACAGGTGGACCAGGTGTTGAGGGCTTTGGGTTTCCATGTTGGGGACTTAGTGTGGTCCTGGCAGCCTGCACCCTTGGGTGCAGATGCAAATGCCCACCCTGGCCCACCACCCCATCTAGGGACCAGAGGCAGCTGTGGGCTCAGACACACCCTCTATACTGTGATACTTAGCAACCGTTGCTAATTAATATTATCAGACAGATAACAAGGGGAGAATTAGGGTGGAGCTACACAGTGACGAAAGTCCCCTCCAAGCAGGAAGTAGACCAACAGTCCTTTCCAGGCCTGGCAGAGGAAAGAGAGTCTCTCTTCTGCTCACTTCCTCCTCCTGTGTCCCCCATCCAATGCCAAAGCCAGCGGGACCTAGGTGGTGACGTGCCAGCCCAGGCCCAGGTACATGGTACATGCTCCTGCTCTCTCCTGATAAGAATCTCCTGGCTCTCCCTTCGCTCCCACTATCTCAGGATGGGTAGGACCTTGGCCCTTCTGTCAAGGCTCAGCCACTGATAATACTGCAAGGCCACTTACAGCTGCAACAGCTGCGAGGAGAGGCCCAGTGACTCCGAGAGTGGCCATCCAGGCCCCAGGGCAGGCGACCCCAGAGGCTGAAGGGAAACCACAAGCTGTCCTGTGTGCATGGATGACCCCAGCCCAGCACCACCCCCACCCTACCCCTGGTCCTCCTTTACCCTAGAATGGCACCTGTGAGGCAGGTGTCTGCCTATCTCTGGCCTAAGTGTCATTTGGTCTTTCCAGAAACAGACTGAGAGGGTCCCAGCACAAATGGCTTATTTGGGAGGTGACCCCAGGTGACAGCTGTGAGTAGGCAGGTAAAGAGCCAGGGTGCAGAAAGAAGCCAACCAGGTTGTATACAAGATTAACTCCTGGCTTAGGGATCTTGGTCAAGGAAAGGATGTCATAACTTTCTCCACCTCCACTGGGGACTCGTAGAAGCACTAGCACCCGCCACACACAGCCAGAATGGCTCTGAGGCTGGAAGTCACTGACACACAAGGAGCACAAGTGCCGAGGCCAGGGAAGCCCCAGCCCTAGCACCTGCTACAGAAAGTCATTCCCAGCCCAGCCCAGTGCTAGGGTTAGACTTGCAGTCAATTAGCCAGGCTCAGACAATTAGCCAGGCTCAGACTTGCAGTCCCCTGGAGTCTCTCCTCAAACATGGAGCTCAAGAGTGGCATGTCTCCCCCAGCGTAGCAGATAAGAACTTTCACCAGAGGTCTTGCTGCCTGTGCCTGTGGCATACCACAGTCATATGACACATGTGCCCCTGAATCCTACTTTCCTCTGGTTTTGAGCTTGTTTGTTTGTTTGTATTGGGAATCAAACTCAGGACCTTGCACTCGCCAGGCAGGTGCTGTGCCGCTGAGCTATATCCCTGGCCCTCCTCTATTTTACTTTTCTTTTTAGTAGTACTGAGAACTGAACCCAGGCCAGCCCTTTTTAATTTTTATTTCTGAGACAGAGTTTTGCCGAGTCATGAAAGTGTGGGGGGGGGGCCTGCCCCTTAGTTGGGGGCCTGCCCCTCAGCTCAGTTGGGGGCCTGCCCCTTAGCTCAGCTCTTTAAGTGGCTGCTTCAACAAAGCAGTCAGGCTCAGGTTGCTGTGGTTCGAGCCCCACAACTCAAGCCAGCCAAACCTGCCCTGAAAGCATTTGGAGCAAAAAAAAAGAAAGTGCCCAGGGTAGGCTCAATCTCTCAATCCTCCTGCCTCAGCCTCCTGTGTGCTGGGTTCTCAGGTGTGCGACACCATGCCCAGCGCCTTCTCACAAACACTCTCCACTGCCTGCAGGGCCTGGGTCACAGCTGTATCCTGGATTCTGACCGCAGAGCTATGGTGCTCTCTCTCCTCACACTGACTGTGGGCTACGTTCCAGTATTTCACTGTTATTTTAAGTTTCTGGTTTACTTCCTTGTGGCTAATGGGGTATTTTCCTTTGGGGATTTGCTTCCTTAAAATAAGTTTGCGGAGACAAGCCATCATGAGTCAGAACACACATTTACGCAGCTCATCAGTTCTTCCCTCAGGCTAATCTAGAGCTATCAGGCGATCATCAGTTCAGGGTGCGGAGCAGCCCCGGCAACAGACACACACCGCGACATCCCGGCAAAAGCCTCCTGACTCAGCAAGCCTGAGGCTCACCACACTCTGCCCTCACCCCATAGGATACCAGCTGCAGAGTGATGCCCCATTTGGGGCTCACCTAGGGCACCGTTGAGGACTGAATCCAGGAATGGTGGATATTAACCATGTGCTTTAAACCCATAGTAGCCTCTATTTGGGGAGGGAAGGGTGATACTTAGGATTAAATCCATGACCTTGCTTGCTTGTACTACCTTATTTCCCTGAAAAAAAGCGCCACCAGAAAAGAAGCCCTAGCATTTTTTTTAGGATGCTCATATTATAAACTCTACTTTAAAAATAAGTTCAACTTAAGATTGTCAGCCAAGCTGGACATGATGGTGCACACCTGTATTGGGAGGCTGAGGCAGGAGGATTGCCTTGAGTTCAAGCTCAGGCAGGGCGATATAGTGAGTTCAAGGCCAGCCTGAACTACACAGCAAGATCTTGTCTCAAAAATTGCCCAAAAAGCTGGCAAGATAGCTCAGTGGACTAAGTGCCTCCTTAGACAAGCGCGGGGACCAGGGTTCGATCCCCTGCACCACATGCTGGCCCCACCCACAGGTGTGCTGAGCCAGCCATGAAAACCAGGAGTGATCCCAGCACTGGGGAGGCTGAAAACAGGAGGATCACTCAAATTAGAGCTGCATAGTGAAACCCTGTACCAAATACATTTTAAAAAAAAGTCAGTCAGATGGATGCATTTAGTACATGTTTAAATGTATGACAATGTAGTGGATTATAAAATAACACTATTCGTATATACTTAAATATAAATAAATACTGACATCAATACTTAAGATAGAGGCCGGCAAGATAGCTCAGCGGCCTAAAGTGCCTGCTTAGGCAAGCGTAGGCAAGTACGTAGGGACCAGGATTCAATGCGCAGCACCACATGCCACCCCAGCCCTGTCCCCAGGGTGGGCTGAGCCAGCCACACAAACAAAATAAATAAAGTAATAGGCAATATTAACATTTGAAATAATTCATTTTAAAAAATACTTAAGATAAATGATAATATAAATTATAATTACATGTTTGTAAACGTCCAAACAGGTGCCTTTGGGTGAGAGGTACATGCCTGTGGAAACAGGTGACCTTGGGACTTAGTACCGACAGCCAGAGTACAGACGCAGCACATGAACGCTGCGCACGCTCGGCGATGAACAGGCGTGGCTGCGCCTAACGGGAATCTTCACAACTCAGTCCGGCCATGCGTCAGCTCTTTTGTGTGGCCCTTCATTCTGGACCACCATCACTTCTGGTGCCACTCCTGACTCGTACTTGATGTCATAGGAACTCCGGGAAGCGCAGCCTGCAAGAGGTCGTGCTTGGTGAAGAATTCTTGGGAGTCAAAGTCACTGGCGGCTGTGTCACCAACGCACTCCGAGCAGGCCATGTGGACAAGAGGTGCTCAGTCAGGGGCCGGGGAGATGGCCCAGTGGAATAAGCGCTTCCCTGGCAAGTGCGAGGGCCTGAGTTCAATCCCTGGTTCGGGGGCGGGGAGGAGAAGCGCTCATCCAAGGAGAGCTGGGTGCAGGACAGGAAGGATGGGGGCTAACGGTTGGGCAGGAGATGGAGCTGCAAGAAATTCAGGCCGGAAGTGGGGCTTAGGGGAGCTCCGATGATGTTCTTGAAGATGACTATTTGAATAAACGTAGAGTTTTGTATGTGGGTAGGAGATGGCTATACATGCAAAATGGGAGATCCTCTGAGAAAAGCTCTAGCATCTTTTGGAGTAAAAGTTAATAGAAGGCCAGGTTTTATTTTTGGAGAATTGTGGTAGGCAAGCGCTGTATCACACAGGTGCACCCCAGCCCTTTTTATGTTTTTATTTTGAGACAGGTTTTTATTACCTGGCCCGGGTTGAACTGGAACTTGTGTGATCCCCTGCCTGAGGCGTGCACCAGTGCACAGGCTTGACATCTGTTGTTGTTGTTGTTGTTGTTGTTTGGTTTTTGGTACCAGGGATTGAATTCCGGACCTTGCACTTGCCAGGCGGGCGCTTACGCTGCTGAGCTATCTCCCCGGCCTGTTGTTTTGAGATAGGGTCTCACTATATATTTCAGGCTGGCCCATGTCACCCAGGGCGGCCCCGCTGCCTCAGCCTCCCAAGCCCTGGGCTTGCAAGCGTGTGCCAGGGTGCGTGGCCTGCTCTCTCACTGCTAACCTTTCCTAGCTGGAATAAAACTGAACGTGCCTGAAACTGGCCACTCGGCAGCCCCCAGAGGACAAGAGCCACAGCCCTCCACGGCCAGTCTGGAGTGGCCACCTTCCAGAGTCTGTCCAGAAAGACCCCATCAACAGGCTCAGGGTTGTCACAAGAGCTCATTGGCTGGTTTCCCTGAACCCCAGCAGCACTCTAAAGTTTGGGGGGTCCAGGGCGAAGGCAGAAGAGACAGCATTCCCAAACCAGGCACTGACCTGGGTGTGTGTCCAGTAACTCCAGCCCCAACTTCCGGCTCCTTGAGGCAACCAGCCAGCTAGCAACATCTCCCTCCTCCTTGCCCTCAGAGCCTGGCCTTTGGTGACTGACTGTACCTAGGGATTG